CTAAAATGTCCTTAACTTTAACATTTAATATTTAAAACATTAATTTAAACTTTCATACTCTATTAAAGTGTTTTCAAAATTGAAATGCCGCCCCTAGCTATGATCTTATGTTCTGTATCCTCTGTATCGTCGCTAGGTCCTTTGTATCCTCTGTATCGTCGCTGGATTCTTCGTATCCTCTGGATCGCGACCGTATCCCGGATAGACGGAATCCGCTTTTCCCCCCTTGCATTCGATAGACTCATGTTCTGCTTTGGAATCGAATCAAAAACGTCTCGAAGCCGAAATATCCTATTTCCGGCATGTAAACTTTATATACACCCATACCCACATTCAACTCTGACCCCTGCGCAACTAATGAAGAAATAGCCAACACTACATAGACTCTCAATCATCACACATTACCTATCATGAGCAACGCGCCAATCGCCACTTGCTACACACACTTTCGTAACAACAACCGACCGTTTCAGAAATATAACCTGAACTTCATAAGTGAGAACCATGGACCACTGACGGCTTCAGAAATACAAGACGACGCTTTTAAGTTAAAAATGCGTATGATAATTGGCCAGTACAGTTAAATATTTCAATCAATTTCATTGTATTATACAGGAAACCTCAAATATATGAATCTCTCAGCATCAGAGAGAACGCATAAAATCACTACAATCAGTGATTACGACACTGTAACAATAAGTAGTGCCGATATACAAGCAATCGCAACAATAAGAGATAACTATGAATGTGCAAAAGGGATATGTCATGGTCTGAATGGAATTGTAGAACGGTTCACATGAGCCTCATGCTATGTGCTCATAAAGCGTACTTGAAGTTTGTATGGGAGATTGCGTTAACTCCATGTACCGTTCATGTTATTTCACAATTACAGATGTATTGGTGTGGGTGTAGGTGTGGTGAGGTGACATTTGCTCTGATTGTATATACTTCATTTCAATTGCTTGTGACTATCAGGTGGTAGTTCATTGTGGGTAGGGCTGCGATGTGACAGATGTTGAATGCTGCTGTTTTAAATTTAGGTACGCTCATTGTTGTGCGAGCGTTGGTATGCTGGTTCAGTGTTGTGGGTTGTGTTTATAGTTACAATAGCGGTGCGAGGATCCGCATCGACATCTTCAACCGTACTGATGCAGACGTTCGTGTGCACATATTCACAGTCACTCATGAATAATTCCAGTTTCATTACGGTTTGAGCCTTTCAATTCTTAAAGTATACAGCAAACGTCCACGATCTAGTCTCAGGTGAAGCGAGCCTTCAAAACGGTTATTATGTGTTATTCTTCAGTTGAAACCACATATTGTTTTGTAAAAGAAATTAGCCGATAAAATGAATATATAGATCTTAGATCGCGACTGTGCCAAATCCATACCGTAACATATTTCGATCTTTCTTAATTCTTTGAGGACGGAATTCTTTTTAATGGAAAAGCATTTTTCATCCGTTTTATTTTATTTTAACTCAAAGGGGCTACATAAAAATCTTATGATAATCATAACAACAATTTTTTTCATCTTTTAAACAAAGTGGCAATTTGTCGTTAAAGCACTTGATATTGGAACGAAAATGTGCTTCATTGGTGCAACAATAAGCACACCCTGTTCTTTTTCCTTTACAGACAAGCGCATTTCATTGCCAAAATGAAGAACAAGTTTTAGTGATGCTAGTTTAGACATATTTTCAGAAGAAAGTCTAAAAAGACTTATTCGTTCATTACCACAGCAGAAATATTTCGCCACTAAAACCAAACAGTTAAAGTATGCTACCTTATCTCGAGTTAACTGAGTATAACAAATGAGTAAAGGCTTGGGTGTGGGTGAACAAAAGCTCAAAACCCACACCCACACCCACACCCTTAGCATTACCAAATAACAAACGTAAAAGAATCGATCCACCAATTAGCAACAACAAAAAACAACATTTACATGATTTATTTACCAAATATGTAATTCGTGATGGAAGGACGTTTAATGACCTGCAAAAACCTGGATTGAAAAAAATTTTACAAGAACTCATTCCTGATTAGTTTATTTAAAAAAATGACTGATATTTATTTGACTAGCAATATCAGATAGTGTGCTAATCGATAATCAATTATGAAAATGAATACACTAACAATTTATGCTGGTCTATTGATTATTAAATCTTTTTTTTTCGTATAGGTTATGAACCTCCGACTCGGTATTCAGTGGCTCATCAGCTAAAACATCTTCATAAGCTCTATTTAAAGAAATTAATTGATGATTTAGCATTAATTGGTGATATTTCAATAACTCTAGACCTGTGGAGCAACAAACAAATGCGATCATTCTTAGTAATCACAGGTCATTATTTTCCTAACAATCGTTTTGATTTACAATCTACGGTTTTAAATTTCTCAACGTTTAATGTTCATCATACATCTGTTGATATTTTTCGAGTATTACAAGAGAAATTAAAAGGACTTGATATATTACACAAGGTGGTTCGAGTGACTTCCGATGGTGGTCGTAATGTGGTCCGTGCCATTTGTGATCTGCACTTGAATTTAGAGCATGTATGATGTGTTGCACATCGACTTCATCTTTCTGTTACAAAAGCATTTGGGTTTTGGATCCTGAAGAAAGATGACGAAAATGGTTCAATAGCTTTGGAACAAGGTAATAACAACTGTTTTATATTTAATCTTTTACAATCTGAATAAAATTAATAGGACGGATCAGACGCAATAAAAACAGAGAAAATTTAAATCAAATTTGCAGTATTAGATATTTTTGACTGCTGTATTCCAAGAAAATAAAAATTCTAATGTTTCATTGAAATTTACTACTTTCCAGGGATATACTTTAAATCATGATCACACGTATTTATATTCGATCAGCAGCTCTCCTACTACTCTACTATAGCAGGAATCACAGAGAGATTTATTAATCATTCAACCTTTCGATTCGTATATATATAATATTGATGAGGTGCTCATATTTATTTCATCGGATTCATCAATATCATCATTATTGTCCAATCGTTCAATATTTGCCATCTCTTTTTCTGCATCATTCAGCCCATTATTCAAATTATCTAAACAAAAGAAAAATATGCTTAATAAAAAGAAAAATTGTAAATATTCGCATTCCTGAAACATTACTCGTGATGAATCAGATGATGATGAATCATCGGAAACATATGAGTCGAACGATGAAGAAGAATCATTACTTTATAACAACGATGAAGCATTCGTGGATGATTGGACAACAAATGTTATTCAATCAGATTTTGATATTGCTTGTGAACAGAATATGATTATAACTGTAATTAAAAAATGTCGTGGCTTAGTGTCGATGATTAAACGATCA